AGGAAACAGAAGGGAGACAAAAGGACACAATGACCAACAAGAAGGGAGACAAAAGGAAACAGAAGGGAGACAAAACGGACACAATGACCAACAAGAAGGAAAACAAAAGGAAACAGAAGGGAAACAAGGCGGACACAATGACCAACAAGAAGGGAAACAAGAAGGGAGACAAGAAGGAAGACAACACGGACGCAATGACCAACAAGAAAGGAGACAAGAAGGAAAACAAAAGGAAACAGAAGGGAGACAAGACTGGAGACAAAGGGAGACAGAAGGGAGACAAGGCGGACACAATGACCAAACAGAAGGGAGACAAGAAGGGAGACAAAAGGAGAGAGAAGGGAGACAAGGCGGACATGGGACACAAAAAGGCGACACCGCAAGATAAGTCAAAAACCAATGTTCGTCAAAAATTGATTTCTTGGCTCGCCCTACTTTCACCCCAAGAGCAAACTGCTTCATCAATGAACTTTTGTCGGCATTGACATCGCTATTTGTTCGGCCACACTCCTCTCCAGTAAGCCGGGCCACAGAGCCCAGCCACAGAGTTCAGGGGCGCGGCCAAGACAAGGACAAGAGGAGGATAAGACGATGACAAGGCCCAGCCACAGAGCCCAGCACAGAGGACAAGAGGAGGACAAGAGCTCAGTAAGCCGTCCATAGCACACGACCGCGCGCGCGCTCACCCTGCTCTCTTTCTTTCTCTCTCTCTCTCTCTGTGTCTTTCTTTCTTTCTGGAGCGTATTTCAGAGCGCGCCAGAGCGCGCCGTCCAAAGCACACGAGCGTGCGCGCTCGCGCCAGCTCGCCCTGCTGTCTTTATTTCTCTCTCCCTCTCTCTCTCTCTCTCTTTCACTTTCTCTTTAAGTTTCTCTTTCTCTGTCTTTCTCTCGGCAGAACGCTGTAAGCGCGCCTTTCTGGAGCGCGAGTGCGCCGTCCATAGCACACGAGCGCACGCGCGCTCGCCCTGCTGTCTTTCTTTCTTTCTTTCTTTCGCACAGCCCAGCCACAGAGTTGACAGAGTTCAGGGGCGCGGCCAAGAGGAGGACAAAAGGAGGACAAGGCCCAGCCACAGAGCCCAGCCACAGAGTTCACAGAGTTCAGGGGCACGGCCAAGAGGAGGACAAGGCCCACAGCCACAGAGCCCAGCCACAGAGTTGACAGAGTTCAGGGCCGCGGCCAAGAGGAGGACAAGAGGAGGACAAGGCCCAGCCACAGAGCCCAGTTGGAGAGCCCAGCCACAGAGCACAGAGTTCAGGGGCGCGGCCAAGAGGAGGACAAGAGGAGGACAAGGCCCAGCCACAGAGCCCAGCCACGGAGTTGACAGAGTTCAGGGGCGCGGCCAAGAGGAGGACAAGACAAAGACAAGGCCCAGCCGCAGAGCCCAGCCACAGAGTTGACAGAGTTCAGGGGCGCGGCCAAGAAAAGGACAAGAGGAGGACAAGGCCCAGCCACAGAGCCCAGCCACAGAGTTTACAAAGTTCAGGGGCGCGACCAAGAGGAGGACAAGAAGAGGACAAGGCCCATAGCCACAGAGCCCAGCCACAGAGTTGACACAGTTCAGGGGCGCGGCCAAGAGGAGGACAAGAGGAGGACAAGGTCTTGACCCCTAGTCCACCTGGGCTCTATCTCTGCCTCGGGGCCGTCGAACCTTGTTGGTTGGGGATAAGCTCTCTTTCCATGAAGGCCCAGCCACAGCGCCCAGCCACAGAGTTGACAGAGTTCAGGCGCGCGGCCAAGAGGAGGAACAAGAGGAGGAAAAAGGCCCAGCCACAGAGCCCAGCCACAGAGTTGACAGAGTTCAGGGCCGCGGCCAAGAGGAGGACAAGGCCCAGCCACAGAGCCCAGCCACAGAGTTGACAGAGTTCAGGCGCGCGGCCAAGAGGAGGACAAGAGGAGGACAAGGCCCAGCCACAGAG